CTACTTGGGAGGCTGAGGCAAGAGAATCGCTTAAGCCCAGGAATTGGAGGTTGCTGTGAACGGCGATTTCATAGCTCTCTACCAGGGCGACAGCTTGAGGCTCTGTCTCAAAAAAACCAAACCCCCCCCCAAAACAATAAACTTAAGATTTGGAATCTGGGGCTCGGTGCCCGTAGCTCAGCGGCTAAGGCACCAGCCACATACACTGGAGCTGGCAGGTTCGAACCCAGTCCAGGCCTCCTAAAACACCAATGACAACTACAACTATAGCCGGGCGTTGGGGCGGGCGCCTGTAGTCCCACCTACTCGGGAGGCTGAGGCAAGAGAATCGCTTAAGCCCAAGAGTTTGAGGTTGCTGTGAGCTGTGACGTACAGCACTCTACTGAGGATGACATAGTGAGACTCCGTCTCGAAAAAAAAAAAATTTGGAATCTGGGTAGGGCCTAAGAGGATGGTATGAGTGGATTGGGCGAGCCAAATGGGGCTGGTCTTGGAGGAGGAGTCAGCCGTTTCCCGCCGCAGCTGTGAGCTTTGAATTAACCGTGGTAGTTTCAGCTGTAGCCAATCCTAGAAGAGCATCTTCCTGCGTCAGTTGTTGCTGGGTCTCAGATCCACGCGTCTCCCTGGGACCTGTTCAAGCCGTTGCTGCTGTACCGGTGCCGGGTTCTTGCGTGTACGTCCGTTACGACTGAAAGGAAGGAGAGAAAATCTCAGTCACTTTCCGCAGTATCCAGCCCGGAAGGGGAACCTCGGCTACTGGCCCCAAACATTTAGAGCAGCACTGGCTTCTCTTTATGTGGAAGCTGCAGGCTGGAGCTCTGTCAGGGGTTTTAGTATCAAGATTCTAGTTCTCACGCGACTTGCTAGAGGAGCAGGAAGTATCTTTTTACGGGGAAGGCTGGCCAGGGAGGGAAGGTACCCAGTGGAGGTGTACAGCCAGGGTAGGGGGGACGGGCTGTCCTTGGGATAGAGAAGGGTTGAGTCCTGGCCCTTTAAACTTGAGGGGGAGGATCCGGAAGTGGATGGGCGGGGCAAATGCCCTGCTATAAAAGAGGGCCCCAGCCGCGCGGAGTCTCTAATCTGCCATTTTCTGTCCCTCGATAAGTCTTTGGCGTCCTATATTCTTTCTGTTTTCCACACAGGCTCTGTTCTCCTACTTGCTTACCACTTAACGGGAACGATGGCCACAGAGTCCACAGCCACTGCCGCCATCGCCGCGGAGCTGGCTTCTGCCAGGTAAGCGGGACGGACGGTGGAGCGCCTGAGGCACTGGCCAGTTCTTGGGGAGGACTGATGGACTGGGGTTCTGCGGGAGGGACAGAACGGTGGGGAAGCGAACTTGCCTCCCTGTGAGCAACTGTCGATGTTTGAGGAGGTCTGGACACTAGAGGAATTACTCTCTTGCTAAGTACCTCGCGCGCTAGCAGTAACGGCGGTCGGCTGGCGCCCCCTGCCCCGCTTTTCGCGGCCGCCATCTTGCCGGGGGCAGTGGCGACTGTCTCCATCGCCTGCCTCTCTCTTTCTGCCGGCCCGGGGCTGTTGGCCGGGAGGCAGGGCCACGTCTCGTAGGTCTGCGGCCACATGTCCCCACACTTCTGCCATACTTCTGGTAGACTCTTTAGATAATTTGGGAATACTAACAATAGATTTCGCGCAAAATGAAAAATATCCCCACTAGGAGGTGAGGCTGGACCCAAGGGTTCAAGTGGGCGGGGCCTTGCGGAAGGCGGGGCTTTCTGCGCGCGGGTTCAATGCTAGGAGGCTGGAAGACTCCATTGTTTAGTGCGGGGTCTCAAGCTGGAAGCTAGATCCTTTGACTTCCGTGATGGGGCTCAGTGAAGTCTCCTTTGCCTCCTCATTCACCCTATGTGCTCGGGGAATGGTTACTGCACCATCAGGCCCTCAGCTCCGGTCTGTGGAGGAAGGATCGTAGATTTTTAGAACTTGGAGGTGTTTCCAGGGAACATTATTATCAGGGTGCAGAGCTTCTTCACTCATCGCTGGATGGAACTCTCCTTACATCCTAGGAGTTTGATTGTTAGGAGAATCGACCGTAGCATGCAGGAAGTGTGAGACTGGAGGGAAACATTAGGTATGGTTGTTTAGATACTGCACAGATACACTCTGGCATAACCTATTTTTTGACTAGTGGAGGGAAACCCATCAGTTGAAGGAAACAAGTGATGTTTACTTACAGTAGATTTCTGCTTGCAGCAAACTCAAACTCCTGGGTTCAAGCACTCCTCTTGCCTCAGCCACAGTAGAAGCTGGGACTCCAGGTGTTGGTCACAACACCAGCTAATTTTTCTATCTTATTAGAGATGGTGTCTCACTCTTGTTCAGGGTGATCTCTTTTTTTTTTTTTGAGACAGA